CGGCGGGGGGAGCCGGCGGGTGACAGGTAAGGGGGGGGCGGTTATCCACGGGTCGGTAACGCCCGGGTCTGTCCCCGCTGTGGAGGGGCCGTTGGCCGCACTTCAGCGCCGGGGAGGGATCGGTTCCTCGGGTAGCGTCCTGGCGCCTCGGGGTCGCCTCTGCCTGCTGGAGCCTCGCAGCAAGCCCACCTAGCCCCCGCCCGTGATCTCAGATGCTTTAAAAAGGGAGGTTTTTTTCGTGTTTTTCTCTACCATTTCGGGTCACCTTCCACAGCGACGCGGGAAGGCACCCTCAGGGGATGGGGAGCGGAGCCCGGGCCAGGAGAAGTCCGGGTAATGCTCCAAAGGTGGCACAGACAGCGGAGAACGCTGCGGGTGTTCTGCCGGGGACCCGCGGACGGAGAACCCTCTCTCCAGGCGCGGACTTTGTCGGGAAGAGGCCGTGAAGGCTGAGACGATACCATGTACCGTGTCCCTAACATAGCCGTTTTGTGCTAAAATGCCTTTATGGTGGTATTTTTTTCCACTTAAAATCACCCTCAATAAGCTCAGTATTAATTATCCGGTTAACACAGAAGACAGCCGACGTTATTTTCCTTTCTATCCCACAGCGAAGTGACAGAGCATCTTTGTCCATTGCAGGTGATTTTAACCAGCGCTGATGTGCCCAGGAACGTGTGTGTGCATGTTCGGTATCTTTCCAGGCATCTCCTCTGTCCTTTTCAATAGAAGAGATGTTTGAAAGTATATCTCAATGTTGTCCTGTTATTTTTGCCTTAGGGGAGATGGCTAATGTGAGAAGAGAGTGAGAAAAAAATTTTAAAATAGACACATATAAGTAAAGTGGGAGAATCATCGAATCTATTTTGGTTTTCTCATTTGTTAAACAGATTTATTTACTTTTCCCAAAACGTGTTTTAAGGTTTAATACTTTAAATCAGAGATGATTGTAAGATAACATCTTTATCCTGAAGTTCAGTGTGTTTGAAAGGAAGCTGTATATCCTCCTTCTAAGTGTTGGGAAGGGGAGGCACGGAGAAGTTAACGGTGTGTCCAGACTCATTCAGCAAAGGGTGACAAGACAGGAATGGACTTCTGCATGGTGACTTAGGCCGGTGAGGCAACTGTTAGACAAAGTTGCCTTCTGGGTGGGTTAATGTTTGCAGAATACTTTTAATATTTTAAAGCACAGTATTACTTTCTAGAGGCAAAACGTGAAGCACTGTGGGGGACACTGCAATTTTTTTTTAATTATCTTCCACAATCTGGAGATTCCACAGATCCCCATTAACTGTCTCTGGCTGCCCTACATATCTTAGGCAGGCCGTATCAGAGTGATCATTAATTAATCCCAGGGAGAAGCACTCATCTGTGCTAGTGAACTAGATCTTCGTATTCCAACCTGCCTGCCATCCCAACTGAGCCTCAGGCCACCAAGCACTATCCAGTGGGCCTCTCTGCTCATATGACTTGCTTGATTTCAGTGTTCTCCCTGGAAAGCACGATCAAATGATTTTTCTTCCCTATCAGGATAAATTGCTTGGTTTTTGGAATTTCTCAATAGCCATAGAAATGCCTTAAATAAGGGGCTGAACACGAGTTAAGGTTCTATGAGTGATGGGTGGGAGGAGAAAGGGGAAAGGCATAAAGACTGGAGAGCAAGGAGGCGAGAAAAGGAGACATCCATTCCTTGGCATTCAATGGAGGGTAGCCCCTTCTGGTACAAAATCTATCCACAAAGAACAGAGCTGAGATCACCAATGCTCACAGATATTTTCAGCAAGGCAATGGCTTCTATTCACTGTTGTGTGGGTTGCCTTTGAACTAAGGATTCAAAGTGTACCTTTGTGTGAATCGATTTTACTCCAGTGGTTGAAATTCAAAATTATGTAAGCTGAAAAGAAGAAAATCTTATTAACTGAAATCCATTTTAATCTTCTTCTACACTTGTACTTTCTTATTCACAAAGGAATGTTAATTTTCTTTTATTGGTAGCATTAAAACATGTTGGTCTGTCACTACAGGCAGCCATAGTGGTAAATTCAGTAAGCAGAAGGCTCTTCTTACATATTTATGTTATTCCATAAACTTAATGTTCAGATTCTTAATTTTTATGTGTTAGGAAATAGTGTCTGATTAGACAGCTGATTTTTTATTTATTTTTTTTTCAGTATGTGTCACCTTGCATTTGGAAGAAAATAAATCTGCATTTAAAACCTCGGAGTCTTCATTTTCGTTTTTTTGAAGTTATAAACCAGCTGAATGTTTTTTCTTTGGTATATCTATCACTTAAAACATTAACCATTCAAAAATCAAAATGACATATTTAGGAAAAAGAATTCATCTGTAGTTTTTTTTCCAGTTGTCAGCTCCTTCAGAGTTGTGGGACTAGCACATGTCATTCTTCAACATCTACTTTTTTATTTATAGACTGAAGAGGAAAAAAAGTAGATTTCCTGTTTTTACAGCTCCCAGATTGTGTCTTGGCTTTGAATGAACTCGTTCAATTTGTTGAAATGAATAGGAAACTCTGCATTTTCAGAAAAGGCTACTTTTGTCAAAAGCTGATTTTGTGCTTTGCCAGTCTATGGCCTATTCAGCTGATGACATCTGGCAGTCCAGTACGTTGCCATGCTTGAAAAATCCTGGCAGTGGTATGTATTGCCTTAATAATTCCTTATAGCCTGCTGTCCTTCAAGGGGTCTGTGCCCTCCCGTAGCTCGTAATCCATGTTGGCAAGGGGGAAGGTCTCTGAGTTGCTAAATACCAACCTGATGTGAGAAAACAGATGGCTCCAAACAGGAGAGAAACCTCCGCAGGATCCAAACCCTGGCAGAGGTATCCCTGGGACCAGCAGTCTCGCAAAGAGGTGAGAGCAGAGGAGATGTAATGAAAAGCATCTTGGTGCCAGAAATAAAACTTTTAAGGTCAAAGACAATTTCTGACAGAGGGTTTCTGCTAGTTAGCCTTCAGAAAAAATCAGGCTTCTATTCCAGCAGCCTCTGCTTTCCCAGAACCTCACTCTTGTGAATGCTCCAGGTTCATATATTTCTTCTCTTGGGATACCAAATTGCATGAAGTGTAACAACAATAATTTCTTCCTCTCCATACCTATTACAAAAAATGCCTGGATTGAGCCAAAACCAAATGAAAACCAGTGTGAGTTTCTGTTTCCTTACCTCTCTGGACATTTCTGTGGGATTACACAAAAGGCCTGTTTGGAAATCCCTGCTACTTTCACCTCCTGCTTGTGTGTGCTCTCCTGTGGCTGTTTTTCCTTTCATCATCTCTCACCAGCAAGTGAGAGCCTTTCTGTTTCATGGCTTCTGGTTTCCATGTCAGAACGCCTCCTGCTCAGCCCCAGCTGATGGTTGGGCTCTCTGGCCAATTCATCTCTTTAGGGACTTCCTCTCTGGAAAAGTACTTTATTCTCAGTGGTATCCCGGGGGATTTCAGTCTAATTAGGAGATAATCAGGATTTTACAACCTTTCATCATTATTCCTAGGAATTTCATTCCAGTGATGAAAAAAAATATAGGAGATACTGAAGACAGACACCCCACTCAAAGCAGAGTTCGTAGTGGCACAAGATGTAGAATATTAGCATCAAACAGTTTGAAACTGGTACGCAGCCAGATTTTCTAAATAATCACACACCCTGCTAACACCATACTAATCATGCTGAAGCATTCACTTGTCTGCAATTGAAAGTGCTGCATTTTTAATACGCTGGCATCATGGATCTGTATCTGCACTTGTATCCAATCAAGAGTCCCCTGAGCCAACTAATTCCTGCATCCTGCTGCTAGAGATACTGTCTAAATATCTTAGATTATATTTACTGTGCAATGCATTAAGCAATCCTGAATCAGTCCCAGGAGAATCTTCCAGTTCTCTGTATGTGCCACAACAACTCCTGCGCCGTAGCTGGGTGTAACTCGGAGAAAGCTCTGATCTGAAGCCCCCAAATATCTTGCCCAAATAAAAACCGCAGGATGTAATTTGGTGTCGGTATTTTTCAGATAATCCTTTCCAGACTGGATTTACAATTGACTGTGTTTTCCATTGGGCTGCATGGTTGCAACTTCTTGCTCTCTAATTGCAGGTATTTCTGTGTGGTCTCTCCTCATTTTCTCTGAGTAAAGCACTTGGGTGCTTGATCTTGCCAACACAGAGCCGGACAGGAAAGGAAAGGAGACCGAGATGGTCAGGGATCTTCTGAGTAGGAAGGGAAGGAAAAAAAGCCTGAGGTGCTAACACAGGTTCTAGTTTTTAGTTATTGTAAAGGTCAGGCAAGAGTCCAGCATGCCTTAAAACATCCTGGCAAAGAGCACTGCATGATTTCCTAAGGAAAGGAAGCTGAGTTCTTGCAGTCCCTCACTGAAACAACCCCTGCCAGCCAGGTCTCTAGCTGGCTAGGACTGTGCTGTCTTGCGTTAGCACGAGTGCTTCATACCCACCACTAGTGCTTCGTGGCTCTGCGGTCTTCAGGCATAGCAACTCCCAGTGTTTCTTACTTGCATATGTGTGTGGGTATACACTGTGTAGAAGGTGTTTTTTCTGCGCTCTGGAAGGGGAGGTGAGGGGCTCAAAACTCTGTTTTCACGTACTACATGCTTGCTCCATTGTTACTTTTTTATAGGCATCTGTTTGGATGCTTAGAGGAAGCACAACACCAGTTTGATGTGTGGAGCAAGCTCCTAGTGCATCTTCCAATCCGTTTAATATAAAGGCTTCAAACTGGGGATGGATCAGGTATTATACCAATAAAAACAGATGCTGCACCTGATTCCAGCCTAAGGGCACTGCTGTGGAAGCAGGATGCTGGGCTCGAGTTGGTGGGACCCACTTGGTTCAGCTGTTCTTATGGTACCTTGTAATCCAGCAGTGATCTGGCGGATGGGGTAGGAACTACAACGGGCACCTGCTGTTTCAAGGTGCAGGATGGCTTGCTTTGGCAAATGCAGAAGGGAGAGGTAGAGCAGGGGTAAAGAGAGAGCATGTCTCCACTTCATCGTTGAGATTTTTTTTCCTACAAGATTTAGGGACATCTGTTAAATTTATTTAAGATTCTTATCTAAACCACTTGGATTGCTTTGAGAATTTCAAACCAAACTCCATTTCCAAGTCATTCTTCTTTTAAAGCCTTGGTTCTCTTTAAAGGCTAATATGCATGTGCCATTCATTGACATTTTTAGCATAGTATAATAAACATAGAGAAACAGATCTCATCCCTGTGGAGGCAGTGGGAAGCTTTGAGTCCTTTGTCTCAATTTTTCTTTCTTCTAGCAGACTGGACAAAGAAGTGGGGACACAACGGAGAGACGGCACTTCAGGCTTTTGCTCTAAAAAAAGGTAGAACAGTACAGTTTGGGGATTTTGAAAAAGTTGGTATGCAAGAAAATCGATTAGGCATTTCATTTAATATAAAATATAAATGCGCAGCTATTCTTGTATGCTGTTTTCCAGCCTTTAGTAATAC